ACAGGGAACAGGAAATCTTACTTTGTTATTTAGAACCTAACTTAATTTATTGCAAAATTATAGAAAAAATTCTGCAGACTACTGATTAAAAGCCTTGGTGTGATCGATTTGTAGAGTCACAGAAAATATTTAAGAGGCATCATACTAGTGAGAGTTATAGTCAGCTGACAGGAAGGAGGACTTGTAGGGTGTGGTAGGGCCAAGTCTTGGGAAATTCCAGAAAGCCTGAGTGTGTCTTGTCTTTTTCTGTTTCCTTTAACATGTTGATTAAGGCTCCAGAAATTCCAGAAAGCCTGAGTGTGTCTTGTCTTTTTCTGTTCCCTTAACATTGATTAAGGCTCCCTCAAGTGTCTGTGTAAAAAGAACTGAAATGCAATTAAAGCCTGTTACAGAAAAGTATTTTGGGGATCAGAGCTCCTGTTGTGTGTGTGTTTTGTCCTCCTTTATTTACTGAGAAAAAACTGGAGGAAACCTCTCTTTATCCTTCAGATTACCACTTGTAAAATGTGGATCATGAAATTTACCTTAAATGCCTCTGAGATCTTGTTATTCTTAATGTTTGAGTGGTCTGGAAGTGGAAATATTGAAAGTAATATTCAGTGCTTCACCCAGGATTTCATTACAAGCTGTTTTATCTGAGAGCTGCATTTCTCTTCAGAACCACAGTCAAGTATAATGAATTTCAGACAGTTCTCTCTCCTATTTTTCTCTTAACCACATACCTTTGCCCATTCACTTTTTTAGTGCTTGAAAGAAAATCATTCAGACTATTGATACCTCTGTGGATCAAAAGTCTTTTTAAAAACCACAGGCTCTTATTTTAGTTAACCCAGGTATTTAAATTAAAAGCTAGCAAAGATGGGAAATTTTATGTATCTAAAAACAAAGAAAGCTCCTGACCTGGCAGGATATGTGTTCTGGTTCTAAATTGTCAGGCTTCCAGTAACACCAGTGCAAAGAATTCACACAAGCCCTCAAGGGATATGGACCTACAACTAAACAGACAGCTGAGCTCTCTGCAGGCCACAACGGGTAACACAGACTCTTGGAATTGCACTTGAATTTTACCTTTGACAGAATGTAAACCTGTAGCAACTCTAACCTTGCAGCAGGAATAGAATTGGAGGAAAAAGGAAACAGCAGATACTGCCATCAGGACCTGGCAGTTGGGATATGAGGATCCCCCTCTGATGACTAATTTGCTGTCTAAGTGACCATTAGCAGAAAGCATTAGGTATATTGAGTTACTTATTTTTCCCTGGACATTTGTGAATATGTAGTGTTTGACATTATAATTTGTAAAATTCTGTGGAATATAAAAACAAACATAAAATAATCTCTTCTCATGGTGGCTCCTATAGCTCAATAGGTAAGGTGCTGGCCACATACAAGGCTGGAGTGTTCGAACCCAGTCTGGGCCAGCTAAAACAACAATGATAACTGTAACAACAACCAAAATATAGCTGAGCATTATAGTGGGCACCTGTAGTCCCAGCTACTTAGTAGGCTGAGGCAAGAGAATCGCTTATGCTCAAAAATTTGAGGTTGTTGTGAGCTATGATACCAGGGCACTCTACCCAGGGCAACAGCTTGAGACTCTGTCTCACACAAAAAAAGAGACTCTGTCTCTTTTTCTTTTGAGACAGAGTTTTACTATGTCCCCCTCAGTGGAGTGCTGTGGCATTACAGCTCAAAACAACTTCAACTTTTTGGGGCTTAAGCAATTTTCTTGCCTCAGCCTCCCAAGTAGCTGGGACTACAGGCACGCACCACAATGCCCAGCTATTTTTTTTTTTTTTTTTTGTGGCAGTTGTCATTGTTGTTTAGCTGGCCCGGGCCAGGTTCGAACCCACCAGCCTTGGTGAATGTGGCCGGCACCATAACTACTGTGCTATGGGGTGCCAAGCCTCTGTTGGAGTCTATAAGGAGATTTGCAGCACCTATAGCTCAAAGGAGTAGGGCGCCGGCACCATATGCTGGAGGTGGCGGGTTCAAACCCAGCCCTGGCCAAAAATTCCAAAAAAAAAAAAAAAAAAAATATTTGCAAGCCTCCTTTTTGAGCAGTATCAAGATCTCCTATCTTCTCTGCAAAGCTTATTGTTGGGTTTTGTTTTTTAAACAGGTTCTTCAGGTGCAAAGCCGAAGTGCAAGTGGAAGGAGGATCTCTGAAAATAACTATTCTCTGGATGACTTGGAAATAGGCCCAGGTAAGCAGGGACTTCTATGTATGTGAAGTCCTCTAGGAAGTACTCGTTAGGAGCACCTCTTTTTGGACTCAAAGCCAATGCTTTTAAAGGAAGGGTATCTCAAATTAAAAAGGAAGCCTGTCTGTTAGATACAAGTCATTCTCAAATCTCATTGCTCTTTGTAAATGGCATTTCTTGTATTTTTAATGTATTCTTGTCAGTGGTAGCCTGTGGTAACCAAAGGATACCTTTGAGGGCTTACAGGTGAAGTGCTACAGTCCATTTTGGCTCCATAGTCACTTGGGGTTTGAAAGCTTTAATAGATAAGCTCTGTCTCCCACTGAGACACAGCCTTTCTAACTGGTTCTTTTTAACCAGAATGATGAGGGTGTGTAAGAGAAGAAAAAGAAGGTCACTGCTATGCTGGAAACTATTAAGAAAAAGTGAAGGAATTTGGCACAGCTGAAGAAGTGCCTAAGAAAGTTTGCCTGAAAGACAAGGAGGAAGCTTACCTGTGAAAAAACTAAGCACTGTAACAAGGAATATAGGCAGATGTATAGAATTGAGGATTTTTTTGTATTTGGGGGGAGTGTTGAGACAGAGTCTCACTTTGTTGCCCTAGTAGAGTGCTATGGCATCATAGCTCACAGCAACCTCAAACTCTTGGGCTTAAGTGATCCTCTTGCCTCAGCCTTTTAAGTAGCAGGGACTACAGGCGCCTGCCCAGTGCCCAGCTATTTTTAGAGACCAGGTCTCACTCTGGCTCAGGCTGGTGTTGAATTCCTGAGTTTAAGCAGTCCACCCACCTCTTCCTCCCAGAGTGCTAGGATTATAGGCATGAGATACCACGCTGGGCCCTGTGGTTCATTTTATGTTTGTTTGCTTATTTGTTTGTTTTTTGAGACAGAGTCTTGCTTTGTGGCTCTCGGTAGAGTGCTATGGAGTCATAGCTCACAGCAATCTCAAACTCTTGGGCTTAAGCGATTCTCTTGCCTTAGCCTCCCAAGTAGGTGGGACTACCCTGGCTATTTTTAGAGACGGGGGTCTTGCTCTAGCTCAGGCTGGTCTCAAACCTGTGAGCTTAGGCAATCCACCCACTTTGGCCTCCCAGAGGGCCAGAACTACAGGCATGAGCCTCTGAGCCTGGCTTGTCTGCTTGTTTTGAGACAGAATCTCACTCTGTAGCCATGGGTAGAGTGCTATGGTGTCGTAGCACACAGCAACCTCAAACTCTTGGGCTTGAACAATCAATCTTCTTGCTTCAGCCTCCTGAGTAGCTGGTACTGCAGGCAGCCACTACAATGCCTGGCTAATTTGTTTGTTGGTTTGTTTTTTCTTTCTATTTTTAGTAGAGATGGGCTCTTGCTCTTGCTCAGGCTGGTCTCTAATTCCTGAGCTCAAGCAGTCCACCTGACTCTGCCTGCCAGAGTGCTAGGATTATAAGCATTAGCCACTAGGCCCAACCCAAAACTGTGGTTCAGATGGCTAGGATGGCAAAAAAAAGCTGATATTCCTGGGTACCTACAGAACCCAAATTGGCATTTGTCATCTGGATCACAGGCATCAGTGGTGTGAGCCCAGAGGTCAGAAAGGTGTCACAGCTGCTTTTCCTTCACTAAAATCTTTAACAGAAGTTTTGTTAAACTCTACAAGGCTTCAGTTAACATGCAGACGATGGTAGAACCATATATTGCATGTGGGTACTCAAACCTGAAATCAGTAAATAATGAATCTATAAGCATGGTTTTGGCAAAAATCAGTAAGAAGCAAATTGCCTTGACAGATGACACTTTAAATGCCTGATCTCTTGGTAAATAGGGCATTATCTGCATGAAGGTTCTGATTCATGAGATCTATACTGTTGAAAAATGCTTCAAAGAAGCAGGCAACTTCTCATGATACTTCAAATTCGTCTTCTTCTCAAGGTGGAATGAAGAAAAAGACCACCATTTTATAGAGGGCAGAAATGCTGACAACAGAGACCAGATCAACAGGCTTACTAGAAGGGGGAACTGGCCAGGTGCAGTGACTCACACTAGTAATCCCAGCACTTTAGGGGAGTTAAAGGTGGGAGGCAGTTCAAGACCAGCCTGAGTAAAATAGCAAGACCAGGAGTGGTGGGGTGTGTGTCTATGGTCTCAGCTACTTGGCAGGCTAAGGTAGGAAGATTTCCTTGAGCCCAGGAATTAGAAGTTACAGTGACCTATGATCAGGCCACTGATCATATTCCAACCCAGCCTGGGAGACAGAAAGACCTGATTTCTTAAAAAAATAAAAATAAAGAATAAACTAAGGTGTCTACTATGATTATTTTTGCAGTCTTATCAGTTAATAAACAATGACTGCTTTAAAATTGAAAAAAGAAAAAAAACAGATTGGTCTCGGCACCTGTAGCATAGTGGTTATGGCCTCAGCCACATAGACTGAGGCTGGTGGGTTTGAACCCAGTGTAGGCCAGCTAAACAATGACACCTGCAACTAACAATAGCCAGGTGTTGTGGCAGGCACCTGTAGTCCCAGCTACTTGAGAGACTGAGGCAAGAGAATCACTTAAGCCCAAGAGTTTGAGGTTGCTGTGAGCTGTGAAGCCATTGTACTCTACCAAGAGCAACATAGTGAGACTCTGTCTCAAAAAAAAAAAAAAAAATCAGATTGATTATCATATATTACTTTGAGAGTATATAATTATGAAGTGGGAATATACAAGCATTTCACAAAAGAAAACATGAGTGAACACAGGAAAATTATCAAAGAAATGCAAATTAAAACAACATTAAGTTCTAAAATATGCAGTGGTCAATTATGGTAAGGATTCTCCTTTTAATGTTAGGAAAGAGAGTGAATATTACTTTATAAATGCTGATAATATTCCTGATTTCCTTCTTTGTACTTGTAATAGAAGAAATTGGCCATTAGATTACAATAGCCTAAAATTTAGAATTTTGAAGTCATTTGAGTCACATTTTATCTTCTAATAAAACATGTTATTTGGATGCTTCTAGGACAGTTATCATCTTCGTCATTCAACTTGGAGAAAAATGAAAGTAGGCGAAATCTGGAACTCCCACGCCTCTCAGAAACCTCCATAAAGGATCGAATGGCCAAGTACCAGGCAGCTGTGTCCAAACAAAGCACTTCAACCAGCTATGCAGTATGTGTTCTTCATCCTTCGCCCACTCATCCAACTAATGGTCATTGAGTAGTGGGATTAGGAAAAGTCACCCAGACCCTTGTGTCTGAACCCTGGCCCTTCCCCTGGTCCCCTAGTCATTCTCTCTCTCTTTTTTTAAGAGACAGAGTTTCCCTTTATCGCACTCGGTAGAGTGCCGTGGCATCACACAGCTCATAGCAACCTCCAACTCCTGGGCTTAGGCAATTCTCTTGCCTCAGCCACCTGAATAGCTGGGACTATAGGCATCCGCCACAATGCCCAGCTATTTTTTTTTGTTGTTGCAGTTTGGCTGAGGCCAGGTTTGAACCTGCCACCCTTGGTATATGGGGCTGGCGCCCTACCAACTGAGCCACAGGCGCTGCCCGTCATTCTCTTTCCACATAAATCCTACCCTTGCATCATTTGTAATCCCTACTGTGGTCTAATCCTGACTTTGCTTTCCTAGTCCTCATTTCCTGCCCACTTTTTTTTTTTTTTTACCAGCCAATCGTGTCTTTGAGAGTTTTCCTAACTCTTTACTTAATCTTTTTGTTGTTAAAGAACTGATATTTTGGCTCAGCGCCTGTGGCTCAAATGGCTAAGACACGAGCCATGTACACCCAAGGTGGCAGGTTCGAATCCAGCCTGGCTTGCCAAACAACAATGATGTCTGCAACCAAAAAATAGCCGGGCGTTGTGGCGGGCGCCTGTGGTCCCAGCTACTTGGGAGGCTGAGGCAGGAGACTCGCTTGAGCCCAGGAGTTGGAGGTTGCTGTGAGCTGAGATGCCATGACACTCTACCCAGGGGGACAGCTTGAGGCTCCTGTCTCAAAAAAAGAAAAAAAAAAGAACTGATATTTTATTAGTTGCAACAGAAACACTTATTTTATCTTGGTTTTTGTGGGTAAAAGGAAGAATATTGGAGAGAAATATGAGATGCTTTCAACATTAATGTGGGAGCATTTTTTGCAACCTTTTTATTGAGATATAATTCACATAATGGAAATTACCATTTTAGAATATATAATTCTATGATTTTTAGTATATTCACAAGGCTGTACAACCATTACCATTGTCTAATTCCAGAGCCTTTCAACCATGCTGAAATGAAGCCCCACACAAAGTGATCGCTCCAATGCCCCCTTGAAATTGCTAATCTGCTGTCTTTATATATCTGCCTATTCTGAACATTTCATATAAAGTAATTATATAATATATAGTCTATTTAATCTTTAATCTTGTGATGAAATGAGTTTCTAAAGAAGTAGAATAGTGGATAAGAAAAAGGGAGAGAAATGACAAGAAGATGACATACTCAATAAGCACAAAAATGTGATATTCTAATTAGAAAGAAGGATCTTGTCATTTTACATTGTCCTGTGCTTAACTGACAAGCTTATGCTACAGAACTCTTACCTGAAGTTACCTTTTAAAGGCCACTTATTCCTATATACACACGTTTATATGCATCTTTCTTTTTTTTTTTTAGAGACAGAGTCTCACTTTCTCGCCCTTGTTAGAGTGCTATGGCAACACAGCTCACAGCAACCTCTAGCTCTTGGGCTTAGGCAATTCTCTTGCCTCAGCCTCCCAAGTAGCTGAGACTACAGGTGCCCACCACAACACCCGGCTATTTTTTGTTGCAGTTTGGCCAGGTTTGGGTTCAAACCCGCCACCCTCAGTATTTGGGGCTGGTGCCCTACCCACTGAGCCACAGGCACCGCCCAGTATATGTATCTTTCAAACAGTGTATCTTTGAAATCATCTAAGATTTCAAATTACAAATCATTAATCATTTGATATACTACTTTTTTAACAAAGTTAGAACAATTATACTTGTTCCTAGGCAAACTGAAATTGGTGCATATAACTTTAACATGTGTGGTGGCACCTGTAGCTGGTAAAACATCAGCCACATACATAGAAGCTGGTGGGTTTAAACCCAGCTCCGGCCTGTTAAACAACAATGACAACTGCAACAAAAAAATAATTTCTTTTATAACATGTGACCGAGTGAGGTGGCTCACGCCTGTAATCCAAGCACTCTGGGAGGCCAAGACGGGAGGACCACTTGAACTCACAAGTTTGAGACCAGCCCGAGCAAAAGTGAGACCCTATCTCTACTAAAAATAGAAAACCTGAGGTAAAAATAGCCAGGCGTTGTTCCAGGCACCTATAGTCCCAGCTACTTGGGAGCTACTCTTGAGGCAAGAGAATCGCTTAAGTCCAAGAGTTTGAGGTTGCTGTGAACTGTGACCCTATGGCACTCACTCAAGACAACAGCTTGAGACTCTCTCAAAAAACAACAACAAAAAAAAAACACTGAGGCAAGAAGATTGCTTGACTCTGAGTTGGAGGTTGCTGAGAGCTGTGACACCATGGCACTCACCCAGGGCAACAGCTTGAGACTCTGTTTCAAAAAAAGGAAATTATAACATGTATTCCAGAAGCTAAACCCTTTCCCCCTGACATAATTCTTCAATAGTATTGATAAACTTATCTGCCGGGCTATAAATAATTTCATCTTGATTTTTTTTTTTTTTTTTTTGGCAGGGCTGGGTTTGAACCCGCCACCTCTGGTATATGGGAATATGGGGCTGGCGCCCCACTTCTTGAGCCACAGGCGCCGCCCCTCATCTTGATTTTTTACTGAAGAGATGATTGGTATAAATCAATAGCAAAGTGGAACATCACAGGCTGATTCTTAACCATAGTGTGAAAAATAAGCAAATTTAAACTTCTGTTAGAAGGCAGGTCAGGAGATACAACAAATAGGTGCTCTGCGAAGCTTAATTGCCTCTTTTAAGGGATCTTGCTGCTGCTCCGTCCCCTTCTGTAAACATTCTGACCAGGTGACTCCATAAGTGGCAAAACCTGTTCAGTGACTTTTTAAAAACTTTTAACAGAGTTTCTGAATTACAGTTTTCCTGCTGTGGAAATTTTAAGAGTTAAAAAGTCTTTAGGAATGCTTGTAAAAAGTACTTTCTATCTCATCCCAAAAGAATTTCCCAGGCCCCTTATTGAATATGGTTGTAACAAGGCACACATTCTCTGGCAGTGGTTCTGGAGGTGGGGCTTGGAGATGGGGTCAGAAACGGGTTGTTTGGCTGTACTGTTTGCTCTACAGTGCTGGCTGCAAGTTCCTCCTCACAGATGTACCTCCTGAGCTGTGTGGCTTAATCTGGAATACCACACCTGTGTGAGTCAGCCACACTCATACTCCCTTCATTGGCCCTGTGGCTATAAATTATTTCCTCCTATGTCTAAGAATCACAGAAAACTGAAAGGTACTAGATCACTATATTACTAGCAGACTAAAGGTAGGAAATGTTCATATTCATCTACTTCTGTGTTAATCTTATATTTAGTTGATGAGTTTATTTTCATATTCTGCTACAAGTGTCCTATGCAAAGAAAAGAATGTGATTATACTTATTTCTCATGACAATACTAATGCATGCTTTTTATGTTGAGAAGTAGAATAAGGTATGTCTTTAGTACAATCTGTGAATTTTATGTGAAAAACTTGTTTTTGAAAGTTCCACATAAAAGGTTATTTTATGGTATCATTAAATATAAATTCAGTTTTTAAATGTATACATCATCCCTGTCTCTCTTTCCAGGCCGGGCATTTATATATATGTGGTCAGTATATTTTCTTAATTCTTGGCACTTGGCATCTCCTTTCCCTTGCTCCAGAATGGTCTTTTCTGATAAAACTCACAAGCTTTGCATTCCCACAAGCTCTGCTGCTAGAAGAGTGTATCACAAGAACATTGTATGTGGGGGGTGATCTCTGTGTGTGTCTGTGTTCTAATGAGCATCCAGTTTTAGACTAGCATACAAATACTTAACTCTGACACATATGTCCACAAAGCTGCTTTTGTCATTTCACTGGTCAGTGGGTTTTGTTTGTGAGAATTAGGGGGTTGATTTTTTGACCTGAGGTTTCTTAGCAGAATTTTTTTTTAAACAATCTAAGTTTATTTCATAGATTCTATGAAGAGAATGGAATGATAGGAAATAAAAAAAAAATTCACAGGTTATTTTTGTTTTGTAGAATGAGTTGAAAGCCAGTAGTGGTGAAGTCAAAATTCATAAATTGGAGCAAAAGGAGAATGTGCCCCCAGGCCCTGAGGTCTGCGTCTCTCATCAGGAGGGACAAAAGGTAGGTTGAAAAGTCTGATGACCAGTTGCCAAGGAAGCATGTGTTCTAAATTAGATGCTTAAAATTAGAAATTCTAAGTCTAGGCTGTATGGTGTCTGGGAATTTGGTAACAGCTGCCAGTACAGATTGTCATTTTTTCAGGTCACATAATTTTGGTTGGGGAGTTCTTCAACTTATAGCTCACCAAATAATGAGTCTTCATTGGAAAAAGTCTTCTGCTCAGCAGATACTCAGAGGGTATGTAGCTGAAGTGATTTTTTAAAAAATCTCTAATCTGTGCGGCGCCTGTGGCTCAGTGAGTAAGGTGCTGGCCCCACATACTGAGAGGGCGGGTTCAAGCCCGGTCCCAGCCAAACTGCAACAAAAAAAGTAGCCGGGTGCTGTGGTGGGCACCTGTAGTCCCAGCTACTAAGGAGGCTGAGGCAAGAGAATCACCTGAGCCCAGGAGCTGGCAGTTGCTGTGAGCTGTGATGCCACAGCACTCTACCAAGAGCAACAAAATGAGACTCTGTCTCAAAAAAAAAAAAAAATCTCTAATCTGTTTGATTAGAGATATTATCTTTAGAGTACTTCTATATTCTTAAGTACATTAAGTTTCAATGTAACCCCACACACCATGTGGTCTTTATGTACAAGGAAACAGAGTGGAGGGGAGGTAAATAATAGGCTGGCTAAGCATAATAAAGCAGCATGATAGGTGCTGTGAGAGGGGTATATAGGGCCTTGGAAGAAGGTGATGTCTGAGCTTAGTCTTAACGAATATGTAGAAATAAGCCAACAATAAAGGGAAAGTTGAGTAATAAAAAGAGCAATTCAGGGCGGCACCTGTGGCTCAGAGGAGTAGGGCACCAGCCCCATATACCAGAGGTGGCAGGTTCAAACCCGGTCCCGGTCGAAAACTGCCAAAAAAAAAAAAAAAAAAAGAGCAATTCAGGTAGATACAACAAAGGTTTGGAAACTAAAGATGGTGGCTTAGTTAGATATTCTTGGATATTATACGGAGCATGTAGACAGTGGTGAGAGGCAGGTGGAGGGAGAGGACCACGGTCTGGAAAAGCTTTTATATGCCATCCTTAAGAGTTTGGATGTAGTTGTGCAGCAAGGGAAAGCCACTGGAAGATTTTTAAGCAAATCATATCTGTGTTGTATGTATTAATCCTTAGATGAATGGCTTAGTTGGAATAAGCAACAGTATTTAGGTCAACCAAATTTATCATGTTCTCTGCCAATCTATTACTCAGTCTTTTTAATCTTTCAGTCAATATATTAATTAAATGGGTTTTTTTGTTGTTGTTGTTTTTTTTTTTTTTTGAGACAGAGCCTCAAGCTGTCCCCCTGGGTAGAGTGCTGTGGCATTACAGCTCACAGCAACCTCCAACTCCTGGGCTCAAGTGAGTCTCCTGCCTCTGCCTCCCAAGTAGCTGGGACCACAGGCGCCCACCACAACGCCCGGCCATTTTTTGGTTGCAGCCATCATTGTTGTTTGGCGGGCTGGGCTGGGGATTCAAACCCGCCACCTTAGGTGTACGTGGCTGGCACCTTAGCCAGTTGAGCTATAGGCGCCGAGCCGATATATTAATTAAATGTTAAGTGAGATGAGGAGAAAGGGCTGTCCAGTCTATTAAAGTTATCAGTCTTAGGAGAAAGGCCATTGCTTCTGTTACACATATTGATACCTTTGATGCCAGGCTTCCAAAAGGCGAAGAGATCACTAAAATGAGTTAAGAGCAATGGTTTGCAAACTTATTTGACTACCACAGGCTTTACAGAGTAGTGTGATGTATTGACAGGAACTCATGAAATGTACTGCACACTTGGATCAAAGTAGGCATGTGGAAAAATGGTCTCAGATTGATGGCTACAAACTTTGATTCATAGACTAGAACAGAAAAAAATAGAAAAGTTAAATCATTTTATTTCATAAAAGCACGTCACAAATGAATATTGAAATAAGATGAAATATTTGACAGGCAGGAGGCGCCTGTGGCTCAGTAGGTAGGGCACTGGTCCCGTATACTGAGAGTGGCAGGTTTGAAGCCGGCCCTGGCCAGGTAAAACAACAATGACAACTGCAACCAAAAATAGCTGGGTTTCTGGCAGACCACTGTATTCCCAGCTACTTGGGAGGCTGAGGCAAGAGCATCGCTTAAGCCCAAGAGTTGGAGATTGCTGTGAGCTATGACAGTACACCACTCTATTGAGGGTGACAAAGTGAGACTGTGTCTCAAATAAATAAATGAAAATTAAAAAAAACAAAGGGCGGTGCCTGTGGTTCAGTGAGCAGGGCACCAGCCCCATATACCAAGGGTGGTGGGTTCAAACCCAGCCCTGGCCAAATTGCAACAAGAAATTTGTGGCAGGCATCTGTAGTCCCAGCTACTCAGGAGGCTAAGGCAAGAGAATTGCCTAAGCCCAGGAGTTGGAGGTTGCTGTGAGCTGTGATGTCATGGTACTCTACTGAGGGTGACAAAGTAAGACTCTGTCTCTTAAAAAAAATAAAATAAAATAAGGGTGGCACCTGTGGCTCAAAAGGGTAGGGTGCCGGTTCCATATGCCAGAGGTGGTGGGTTCAAGCCCAGCCCCAGCCAAAAACTGCAAAAATAAATAAATTAATTAATTTAATTAAAATTTAAAAAAGAAAAAATAAATATTTGACAGTCAAGTGTTGCATAGTCATATAATGTCAAATGAATTGCACACATCCTTCCAATAGTTGGCTTGTAGTCCATGGATCACATGTCATGTATCAAGTTCTCTTGTAAGACTGTCTGGTTTTCCCATGTTTTATTTCTTTATTTATTCATTTATTTTTTGAGACTCTGTCTCAAAATAAAGAATTACCGAGTAGGCTGGGTGAGGTTGCTCACATCTGTAATGCTAGCACTCTGGGAGGCCACAGTGGGCAGATTGCTTGAGCTGAGGAGTTACAGACTAGCCTGAGCAAGAGCGAGACCCTATCGCTACTAAAAATAGCAAAATTAGCCAGGTGCTGTGGCAGGCGCCTATAGTACTAGGTATGTGGAAGGCTGAGGCAAGAGGGTTGCTCAAGCCCAAGAGTTTGAGGTTGCTGTGAGCTCTGATGGCACAGCATTCTAGCCAGAACAACAGAGTGAGATTCTGTCTCAAAAACAAAACAAAAAGAATTACTGAGTAGCTGGTCACATGCTCAGCCTGTAATAGCAACAATTTGGGAGGCCAAGGCAGGAAGATCATTTGAGGCCAGGAGTTCAAGGCTGCAGTGAGCTGTGATCATCTTCCTGTACTCCAATCTGGGAGATAGAACAAGACCCTGTCTCAGTCAATCAATTAATTTTCTTTTTTTTTTTTTTGCAGTTTTTGGCTGGCACCAGGTTTGAACCTGCCACCTCCGGTATATGGGGCTGGTGCCCTACTCCTTTGAGCCACAGATGTCGCCCACAATTAATTTTCTTATAAATTGTATTTTTATTTATTTATTTTGAGAGTCTCATTATGTCACCCTCGGTAGAGTGCTGTGGTGTCACAGCTCACACTAACCTCAAACTCTTGGGCTTAAGTGATTCTCTTGCCTCAGCCTCCCAAGTAGCTGGGACTACAGGCACCTGCCACAACACCCAACTGTTTTCTGTTGCAGTTGTCATTGTTCTAGCTGGCCTAGGCTGGGCCTGAACCCACCAGCCTCAGTGCATGTGATCAGTGCCCTACCCACTAAGCTATGGGTGCCACCCTGTAAAAGAAAACTTTTTTTTTTTTTTTTGAGACAGAGCCTCAAGCTGTCCCCCTGGGTAGAGTGCCGTGGCATTACAGCTCACAGCAACCTCCAACTCCTGGGCTCAAGCGAGTCTCCTGCCTCCGCCTCCCAAGTAGCTGGGACCACAGGCGCCCGCCACAACGCCCGGCTATTTTTTGGTTGCAGCCGTCATTGTTGTTTGGCGGGTCCGGGCTGGGGATTTGAACCCGCCACCTTAGGTGTACGTGGCTAGCGCCTTAGCCGGTTGAGCTATAGGCGCCGAGCCAAGAAAACTTTTAAGAGAAAAATATTCCCAGCATTGAAATCGCCCCATCTTTACTCCAGGAACATAGTTTTGGAAATAATCATCTGGACAATAATGCTTGGATTGTCCCTATGTCTAATTTCATGTTTCCTTCTTGATTGCCTTCATGCTGATTTGAAACTAGAACTCTGAACTGAACTCTGGAGGATCAGAACATTTTAATTACCCCCTGAGAGGATATTAGTGCAACCATGTGGGTGGGAAAGAAAGGGGATAAAGATAGTATGTATTCTTCAAGCATACACTGCAGGTTTCTAATCCCTCGGCTGCCTTAAAATTTGCAAAATTTTTCAGAAACTTAGATGTCCTTTTGGCTGTTTGCCTACCTTGTGTTAACCAGTACCTAAGTGTTCTTTGAACTTTGGCTTGTTAGTAAAGGACATTAATGCTAGAATAAACGTGCTTGAAATGGAATCTTTTGTCAAGTTATTGTTTTTCCCTTTTTCCTCCTGTGAATTAATTTGTGTTTTCCTTTAATGAAATGCTTGTACAGAATCTTCAGTGCTCCTCCCACCTGGTTGTTCCTGCAGTGAAGTCATCTGGTTAGCCATGTGAATGATGTCAGGATTGGCATTAAATTTACCTTACAGGTTCAAGGTGGCCAAATTAGAGTGAGAGAAGAACATCCTAGGACGGATATACCTGCTAATTAACAAGAAGAATTTTTATGGCCATGCATAACTTTCAGAAAATGTATTTCATATCATTAGATGAAATAATGCAAGTAAAGTGATCAGTATAATACCTCACAGGAAATGCTTAATAAATGTTGGCCATTATTATACTAGTTTGTTCTATGCCCTGTCAGAATTCCTGTAATGAAAAGTGGAATAGTGGAAAAAACAACCATCCTGAAATTCAGATACATTCGGCCAACAACTTAATCTCCATTGTAAATCTATTCAGTTTATTAGACATCCGCATTGCCCATAAAATCTCTGAATCTGAAGGAAAGAAAATTATATGAAGAGTATATGTTAGGCCACCTGTTGACCCTTCATGATTTTGAGTGTGGAGGAGGATATCAGAAAGGCATAGAAACCAGTAGAAAGTAGGGGGATGGGGGAGTGGCAATAGAGAGTTTTTAAATTTAAATTTGATGGTCGAGGGGCAAAAGATATATACACCTACATCTACGATCTGTTGTCTTGTTAAACATTGCCATTTTTAGAATGGGATTAAAAGGGAAACTATCCTTGAAAATAATACTAGAGGTTAGTTTTAGGTAAATTTGTTTTTATAGCTATTAAAAGATTTTCTGTATAAGCAATCTGTTTTCCACAGAATGTGTTTGTCTGGGAAATAAGAATTAGGAAAATGGGCTGGATTCAGTGGCTCACACTTGTAATCCTAGCATTCTGGGAGGCCGAGGTGGGCGGATTGCTTGACTTCAGGAGTTTGAGACCAGCCTGAGCAAGAATGAGACCCCATCTCTACTAAAAATGAAAAACTGAGGCAAGAGAATCACTTGAGCCTAAGAGTTTGAGGTTGCTTTGAACTATGACACCACACCACTCTACCAAAGGTGACAAAGTGAAACCTCTATCTCAAAAAAAAAAAAAAAGAAAGAAAGAAAGAAAATTTAGGAACATGAAAAAAATAAGAATAGTTCCTTTATTTAAATACTTCTCTTGCCTTGGAGTGAGTTATAGTTATAGGGTGAGGAGCTTTTCTCTCCTTGATAGAAGGTTTTGTTTTAAAAGCTTTGTTTTTCAAAGAGTAGAAAGATCCGGTTTAGAAGTTCTTTTATAAAGGGAGATGATGCACGCTTTTGGCAGTTGAGTGCAGTCTGTTTCTCACATTACTCTATAATTGAGAGGCATGTTAATATTCTCATAAAAGACATTTTGCTGCCTCTTGTTTAAATGCTCAGCTGTTCTATGCCCGTTATTTCCCCCAGGCAGCCCAAGACTGGCTGGAGTCAGCAGGTTTTTATGGCATTAACAACAGTTTGCTCTTTTATTTTTAATGTGATTCTTAATCCCCCCTCCTTCTTTTTTTTGGTAGGTTTCTGCAACGGAGAATAGTCCAGCAATTCGTTCCACCCTTGCTGAAGATGACTCCCGTAAGCATTTGTTCATAAACCTGCAGGGTGAGGTTCTTATTCTCTATCCATATTTGGCTCAGGAGTATTCCCATTACTGTCAGTGCTGAGAAAATAACATACCAAATCCACCAGTTTTAATAGATCGAATACTTTACTTGGTTTTAAGTACTGAAGCTTGAATATCTTATACATTTCATGGCTTAAGGAAAAGTTAAATTCAATTAAATATGGTTAACTCAGGACAAACTGAATACTTTTGATGTTTCTTTTATCCTACATTTTGTACAGAACCCTATTTTGAAGTTTCATTTTAATAGAAGTTTAGTTTAAAAAGGTCTTATTGATTTATGAGGATAAAGAGTAGTATTTGAAGGCGAGGCTCAATAGCTCATGCCTATAATCCTAGAACTCTGGGAGATGAGGCAGGTGGGTAGCTTTGAACTCATGAGTTTGAGACCAGCCTCAGCAAGAGTGAGACCCCACCTCTAAAAATAGCCAGGCGTAATCCTAGCTACTTGTAAGGCTGAGGCAAGAGAATCACTTGAGCCCAGGAGTTTGAGGTTGCTGTGAGCACTCTACTAAGGGCAACAAAATGAGATTCTGTCTTAAAAAGGAAAAAAAATAGTATTTGAGTAACCTATTAAAAATATGTTTTCCAGGCTTGGCACCTGTAGCTCAGTCAGTAGGGTGCTATCCACATACACCAAAGCTGGCAGGTTCGAGCCCGGCCTGGGTGTGCTGAACAATGACAATTGCAACCAAAATAAAAAAAAAAATAGTCAGGTGTTATGTAGTCCCAGTTACTTGGGAGGCTGAGGCAAGAGAATCACTTAAGCCCAAGAGTTTAAGGTTGCTATGAACTGTGACACCATGGCACTCTACCGAGGGTGACATAGTAAGACTCTGTCTTAAAAAGGGGGGGGGCGGCACCTGTGGCTCCAAGGAGTAGGGCACTGGCCCCATATGCAGGAGGTGGCAGGTTCAAACCCAGCCCTGGCTAAAAACTGCAAAAAAAAAATACATATATATATATATATATCTATCTTTATCTTTTCCAGACACAATTGTAAGAGGGACTTTACCTAACAAAGGCAGTCAGTGTAACCTGGTTTCTTATACCCTCAATGAATCCCCAGCAACAGGGGATTACAGACTGGCTCAGGCCTGTAATCTCAGCACTTTTTTGTTTTGTTTTATTTTTGAGACTGAGTCTTACTTGGTCACCTTCAGTAGAGTGCTGTGGCATTGTACCTCACAGCAACCTCAAACTCCTGGGCTCAAGTGATTCTCTTGCCTCAGCCTCCCAAGTAGCTGGGACTATAGGCGCCCAACATAATGCCTAGCTAATTTTTTTTAGAGATGGAGTTTCACTCTTACTCAGGCTGATCTCTATCCTGTGAGCTCAGGCAATCCACCCACCTCAATCTCCCAAGTACTGGGATTACAGGTGTGAGCGACTACACCCAGCAATCCCAGCACTTTGGAGGCTGAGGTGGGAGGATTGTTTGAGGCTAGAAGTTCAAGACCAGTGTAGGTAACATAGTAAGACCCTGTATCTATCAAAAAATATATATTTCCCTACTTATCTAAATTGTTCTGTAGTTCACCCCCCAAGCCAGGTTCTAGAGATTAATAACATTCCTTTTTACAATCATTTTTCTTAGACTAGAAAATTTTCTGAGTTTTAACTAAATTTGCAAAAAGTGTTTTGAAAAATAAGCCTTAATCTTTTAGTACATTGTTGGCTCAACTCCAGATTTTAAGGAATTCCTTTGTGGTTTCTTAGTGGCTACATAAATGGCTTTTCTTTGCCTCTTCTGATTTCCATGGGATGAATACATTGGCAGGAAATTAACGCATGCTTGTTGGTACTTCAACAATTATGAAAAAGACTTCACAGAGCTCTTTTACATAACCTTCTATAGGACTGACCAAAAGGCAGTGTTAGGTTACATATATACACATGCACATATGGTATGACATTTCTGTTCTCAAATGCCCCCATTTTCCCTACTTGAGTTGAAACACCCTAGAACAGTGGTTCTCAACCTTCCTAACGCGGGGTATGTGGGTGTATCTGCATGTGGGCGGACCTGCCAGGGGACTGATAGAGGAGCTGTGTCTCGGTTCCTAAGTCCTTCAGAAATATGTGTTTTCCCACCCCCAAAGGGGTTGCAACCCACAGGTTGAACCGCTGCCCTAAAAGTTATTAGGAGTGCTAACTATTAACAAAAAAAATCAAAGTCTTTAAGCAACCTTTAAAAATAATAGTCCAGGCTCAGCGCCTGTAGCTCAAGCGGTTAAGGTGCCAGCCACATACACCAGAGCTGGTGGGTTAGAATCCAGCATGGGCCCGCCAAACAACAACGACAGCTACAAC